ACTCTAATATAGTATTTTAACTAGTCCATATTAATCCAAAGTAGTAGATAGATTTGAGATGGATTCTTAAAGATCTCGGAAGTAGTGGAGTCTAGACAGGTTAGGAGTAAGATATTTATTTAAATCGTTGAAATCAATGGAGTTGATAACACGGAGGATTGAGTTTTGACTGAATAATAAGTTATTATTTGCCCCGATACGAACGAAAACAGTGAGAGATTCGCAAATCCATGTGTCTTGAACAAAATGTTAATAAGTGGTCCAATATTCTCATACAAACGCATACACAAAGTTACACGGATTTCATCGGGTTACATTACAGAAGACCTAATCAATCGCATCTGCATCAAGGAAAAGTTCAAAAGGACCACGGAGTACGTGAGAACAAAGAGAGGAGCCGATATAACTTCAGATCACCATTTGATAGTGACCAAGATTAAATTGAAGCTAATGAAACACTGGACAACTGGTCGAATAGCATCACTAAAGTCTAATAAGGCCCTTCTTCTGGATACTGACAACCTCAGCGAATTCAACATGACTTCCAGCAATAAGTTCCAAGCCTTACACGATCCGCTCAAAGCGGAGGAAGCAACCATAAAGAACAACTGGAAAAGGATCAACGACGCATTAGCTTCAAAATGTTATGTAGCTTTTGGCTTCGATAAGCACCATTATAAGGAATGGATCTCTGTAGATACTCTGGATAGGATTAAAGAAAGGAATAACAAAGAAAAGTAATCAACAATGGTCGAACAAGAATAGAGAAAGCTAAGACAGAAGCCGAGCGGAATATCAAAGCTGATAAGAGGAAATATGGAGAAGACTAAGCAGTGATAGCAGAAGTTGCTGCAAGAGAAGGGAACATCAGACAACTATACGACACAACAAAACTCTCTGGGAAATCTAGCAAAATAGAATAATCAGTCAAGAAGATCAAGGCAAAGCAATCATCAACATCAGAGAACAGCGAAACAGGTGTGTAGATACCAAAAAAGGGAGATCTTAGCAAATGTGAAAACTACAGAGACATCACTCTTCTCTCAACACAGTGTTGTTAAAGCAAATGAAAGATTCGGCAGACACCCAACTTCGAGATCAGCAGTCTGGATCCCGTAAGGATCGATCGTGTACCGACCTAACTGCAACATTACGAATCATCGGTGAACAATCACCTGAATGGGATTCACCACTCTATATCAACTTTCTCGATTACTAGAAAGCATTCCACAGTGTCGACACGATGACACCATAGAGGCGTCTTCGATACCATGGCGTGCCTAAGATGGTCAACATCATACGGAATTCCTATGATGGATTCAACTGCAAGATCGTGCATTGAGGACAGCTCACAAACTCGTCCGAATTAGAGACCGCTCTCAGGCAAGGTTGCTTACCCTCACACTTTCTCTTTCTTCTAGTGGTTGATGGGATTATGAAGATGTCAAAATCTCAAGGGAAGCACGGGATACTGTGGACAGCTCGGATGTGGCTGCACGATTTAGACTTCGCAGATGATCTAACCCTTATGTCTGACACGCAACAACAAATGGAGGAGAAGTCGACCAATGTAGCAACAGCCTCTGCAGCAGTAGTTCTCAACAAACACAAGGGATGAAGCAAGATCTTCCGATACAGCACAACGTACATCAACTGAACTACACTTAGTGGACAAGCTTTGGAAGATGTAGGAGCCTTAGGTAACTGTGCAGCATCATCCGTAAACAGGGTGAGTCTGATGCAAATGTGAAGACATAGAGCGGTAAGGCCAAGACAGCATTTCTACAATCGAAAAACATCTGCAAATCAAAACAACTGCCTAACAAAACCGTCAGGATCTTCAATACACATGTCAAAACCTTTCTGTTGTATGAAGTGGAGATACAGGTGTTTATTAACTGTTGTCTACATAATATACTCTATATCCGTTGGCTAGACACCATCAGCGAAAATCTACGATGAGAAGCAACAAATTAGATTCCAGCCGCGGAAGAAGTTAGGAAAGGGCTGGGAGTTGGTAGAAAGTAGGTAGAGAACCACCCAACTGATTCACGAAGCAAGTCCTGACCTTCAAACACAGAGGAAAAGAGGTAGACCAAGGAATACATTGCGCTGAGAATTGGGAACAGAAATGAAAATAATAAATACCAAGTGGATAGAACTGGCCCAGGACAGAGTTAGTTGGAGAATACTAGTCGGCGGCCTATGCTATAATAGAGGTAAGAGGCGTAAGTGCGTAAGTAAGCCTCGACACGCAAAACGAAGTGTGCTTAAATACGACCGAATAGCTATCCAGCGCTTAGTAAATTTAGACGCTTCTCTAGATGATATCAATCCTTAAAGAAAACTATCTGTAAGTGGAATTTATCTCCGTTAATCTCAGTCAGTCAGTTACAACGTAGAACTTCGCACGTATGTATATCAGTTCAAGTTGCCATAGCACATTAGCGCAGAGACGCAACTGTCAGTTAAAATCCCATTATAGTAGATGTAGTAGAAGTATTAGTGATAATGAAAAAGATTAGGGATTAAAGAAATTATTCAAGAAGTATAAATATCCGTAAATCTCTCAGTTAAATACTGAATACCAAACAAATGAGAGGTTAATGCTGTAGTACAGTCAGAATAAGGTGGAGCTTTTTTGATTTATTGCAGGTAAACAGAATATCTTTACACTGGGTACGGGTGGATTAGTTTAAAATAAGATAAACGGTTTTGTATGTAGCATGTTGAAGGTTGTCTACTTACAGTAAAGTTCAGCCGCACAAACGTTAATCCGTTTTAGAGGTTACTCAAATTATTCATAAGTTCATACATTACGATACTAAGTATTTTTTTATTAAAGTGACACCTCAGTGTTCGGGCAGCCAGGAATTATGACTCGTACTCACATAAGCAGTATGATTAAAAAAGCAGTACACAGACACGTACTTGGTAGATGGATTTCATCTCATTTTTAATTTAAAAAACCTTTAAAACTAGATGGTATAATACTTAGTAGAGTCAATAATTACATGTGGATGAGTTATGAAATGCCTACAAAATATATACATAGAATAAATTATTTGGTGAGAAATACTAAATACTCATTACATTTCGTGATAGACAATAAAATGGATATGAAATGACATATTCGTGTTGAAGCATGTAAAATTAAAATATAGCTCATGCAGAAGAGATACTCAAATATAATTAACAGAATAAGTAGCGGAATATTTAGACATTTAGAATTCAACAAAATATAACCTACGTTAGAATATTACGATCAAGTAAAAATCTACAAAATCCTAAAAAATAATAATAAGTCAGTGATTTTTCGTTTTGAAACCATCTTCCCTTCAGTCAACTTTAATCTAAATCTAGTACAAGCCTGAGTAGAAACAAGTTGTCATACCACGACAGGATACAGTTAATGGGATGAATAGCAAACGAATCAGAAATAACGTAATAATGAGTGTGAGAAAAATTGAACACTGAGAATACGGTATGGAAAGATAAAGTGGAAAAGTATACATAAAGAAACACTGAAGCTTGAGATCTAAAAGAAAAAGAGTGAGTGCATCTAAACCAGTGGAATCGATTCCAAACCATGATAGCGTAAGTCTCCAACCACTGATTTTTGCCATCGTACGGACTTCAGCCAGTTAGTCTATATCTACCAACATGCCTCTTTTACATCAGTGGTATAGCAAAAGTATTCTACACTGTCAAACATACAGAGTCATTAGAACTAATTAATAATTTGATATAATTTAAATGATTAAGTAATAGATTGAGTAGTAATCCATAATCAAATTTTAGCCTAATAAGTAACAACTCGTTTATAAGAAAGAACTACAACTGTTGTTATTGCTCAGTGAAGATTAAATTGTACGATTATGATGCTGATAAAATTATACGAATCAAAACTATGTGAAACAAATATATATAAGAAATCCCAGTATAAAACTGGCTGATTATAAAACGTCTAACGGAATACGCAGGCGGATCTGAGCAGCATGGTTCCCAAGTAGCAGTCACTTTTCTCATGAAAAGTCACATTTCGTATTCCACAATGTTGTAAACAACTCCGACCAAGTCTCTTAGTCCTGTATAGTGTAACGGTGCTAAATTAGGTCTTTTTGACCAACTATGAGACTAATGGATAGGCTACCAGACAGACTTTAAGTGTACTCCGCATGACTAATTTACCCTAGATTCAGTTTTAAGGTCAATAGAGTGTAACATAAATTATAAACTAAACTAAAGTCGTTTATCATGTATGTACTTTGGTGTAAGGGCTTTTGATACTGACTAGTTGCCCAAACCAAAGTAGATGGATGGGGTCACTTTAGAAGCTGACATGTAAATAATAAACGTCAGACCGTTCTAGCAATAGTTTCCTAACAAACTTGTTAGCTATGAGGATAATACTTATTTCTGCCGAAAACTTGTTGAACTGAGCTATACGCAGTCATTGTGCTTCATAGATCTTACCAGATGATGCTTGTGGTAGTTCTACTAGAAAAGGTTTACGTTGATAGGTAGTCAGTTCCTCCAATTTTCCGGATCGCACACTATTTAGACCGAATCTTTTCTTAATTTATAATACATCTGAAGTGTGGCTAGTTGTACTTGGCATTGGACAGTGATATTACATTGACTGCCTCATTCGGGTATGAACCATACTCCAAGTGTGATGGTTAATGATGGTAACTAGTTACACTGACCGAAGCGAAGCGAAATTCGAACGTGGGACTTAGCGGCTGAGATTCGAACGCCTTAACTGTTACGCCATAGCTCTACTGAGAAAGCGTTTTGACCACAAAAGATACAGTAAGGCAACTTACTGGTGGTTAAAGTATTTAAACCGCAACCACGTAAACAACAGGTTTGGTTTGTAATTGCACGGTCAAATACTATCTTTAGTCTTCAAACGAGAAACGTAACTGGAGCGAGTACGTGAATCTTTACTTGAGAAATACTGGGAATCAGTATCTTCAGCGGAACAAAAAACTGGTAATACATACAAAAGTGTATTTCTAAATTTAAAACGGAGTGAAAAAACAAATGATTCATACAGTTACATGAAAACATGCAAGTCACATGCGGATAAAGGCTGTTTGGGAATTTGGAGGTGTCCAAAAACAATTAAAAGTGAAGACAGGATCGGCGAGATAATACAGATGCGTTCAAAGCTCATCCTTTGGTGAACTTGGTTGATTTTCCTATCCATGAAAAATGAAAAAACTAAGTTTAGCATTCCGAAAATCGACATGCAAAAATACCAAGCACCAGAAAATAAACTTACATCAACTTGCGGTGATACTTCTGACTTTTCTTTCGTTGAATCTTCATTAGAAATCGACTCCTAGGTATAAATAACATTTATAAAGTATCAACTTACTTTATCTACTGAATCCGTTACAGACTCTTCGGACTGCTCATCAGTCTCAGGTTCTTCATCCAACAACTCGTTCTGATCAATATCTAAGCTTTTCTTTACAACAGATTCAACTCGTTCTGCGAAAGCAACAGGGTTCTTAACAGAAAAACCTGAACGAAGAACTGCAACATCAAAAAGCAGATTTGCAGTATGACTAATTGTAGGGTCATCTTTATTGATCTTTAAAAGAGCGTTTAACTTTTTCATTACTGAATGGCGTGGGTTAATTTCGAAGACCTTCTTCATAGTAGAATAATAGGTAGATGATACGTCTCCACCCCTCTGATATGCTTGTGCTGTCATAATGCGCTCCATATTTCCGGACCACCCAAATTCATTAGCGACGAGAGCGCATGGGGTATTCGATAGTCTTTCCGACAAGGCAGTTCTATCTACATATTCCTTTAAATTGTCCTTGAACCATTCCAAGAGTGGTTTGAATTCTTTTTCCAATTCTTCCTTTCGAGTCTTAGCTTCTTCTGATTTGTCAAGTTCGATTGTTCCTTTTGCCACATTTCGCAACTTCTTTTTATCATATTCAGTTAGCGATTGAAGCATGTACTCATCAACAGGATCGATCATATAAATAACTTCATAGCCCTTCTTAATTAATCTTTCCACAAACGGAGATGACTTAGCTTCATCTATTGAGGCTGCAGTAAGATAGTATATTTCTTCCTGTCCTTTTTTCATGCGTGAAACATAATCTGCAAGACTTGATTGATTCTCGGTGCTGTTTGAAGTCCAAAACCGTAGAAACTTGGATAACTTAGTGCGGTTCGGAAGATCGTCAATTATACCAAGTTTTATGTTTACTGAGTATTCTTTCCAGAAAGTTTTAAACTGGGATTCAGAAAGTTCGCTAATCATCTGGATTACTTTCTTGACCAATCTTTTCTTTATCATTTTGAGGAGTTTGTTTTGCTGCAACATTTCACGAGAAACATTGAGAGGAAGTTCATCACTGTCTACTATGCCAAAAATAAATGCCAAGTATTTAGGAAGCAGTTCGTCGGCCACGTCAGAAATGTACACACGACGGACATAGAGCTGTAGAATGTATAATTACAGAATATGACTGACTTACCTTGATCCTGTCACTATGAGTATTATGCATCTGGAATATGTTAGATGGAGGATGTTTCGGTATGTATAATATTGAGCTAAATAACACGTCCCCCTCACCACTGAAATGAATCCTAGCGAGCGGATCATCATTGTCGTTTGAATAGGCACGGAATAAATCATTGTATTCCTCAGCGGTAACGTCGGCTGGTTTGCGTTTCCAAATTGGTTTGTTTGCATTTATACGTACCCAGTCCCAGACGACTTTGTCTACGGTTTTACTTTCACTCTTCTTTCCACTTTCTTCCTCAACCTATAAGAATATGTAGGTAGGTGAAAATACTTACGCTAGCCTCAGAATCAGTTGTTTTTGATTCTTCTTTTTCCTCAGGTTCAACAACCTGCGACTCCACTCGACTTGACCAAACATAAATCGGAAAATTGATGAACTGACTATATTTCTTTACAACTTCTTTGAGAGTATCAGGTTGTAAATAATCTTCTGCTTCCTCAGTCAAGTAGAGAATAATTTCAGTTCCGCGTTTGAGAGTGTTACCACGTGGGTCTTTGTAAACTACGAACGAAGTAGAATTCGACTCCCATATATGCTGGTCATCGTTATTACTCTTAGATACAACTAAAACTTTGTCGGCAACTAAGATATAAACAAATTAAGTATGTGTACAAACCTAAAAATGAGGAGTAAAATCCAACACCAAACTGGCCAATAAGATCAGACTTTTCCGTGACTGTACTAGTTTGAGCAATCTTTGTCAAAAACTCAGATGTGCCAGACTTGGCAATAGTCCCCAAATTCGAGGTAAGTTCAGCTTCTGTCATACCAATGCCAGTGTCTATTATATGAAGGGTTCGTGCATCTTTATTAGCCTTAAAGGGTTGCAACGTTTACAAAGAAAACTTACCTTTATTCGGATACTCATTTCGTCGGACTCATCTAGCATTTCATTGTTAGTCAGCGAAAGAACGCGGATTTTATCCAGGGCGTCTGATGCATTCGAGATTAATTCTCTAAGGAATATCTACGCATTCGAAGAAAAAATGTGGGTTACCTCTTTATTTTTATACAGGGAGTTAACTATTATTTTCATCATGCGATCAACTTCAGCCTCAAACTGTCGTTTTTCCGCATGTTCTCGTGCTTGCTTTAACTGCTCAACGCTTAGACCATCCAAGCTGATTGCCTCTGCCTCCCTAACATGACATAAAAGTGTAACTCATGAAACTTACTTAGTTAAAGTATCTGAGGCTGTTGAAAGTCCTTCATTTGGTCTTGATACAGGAATATCAGACAGTAACGAAGATGGATCACAAAAAACACATGCCAACACAGCTGTTTTCATCAATTAAAAAAATACCACAACTTACTAAGTACTACTAGACCATATACTAGGGACATACCCCATAGTCCCCCCATTGTAAGAACAACTCTCCTAGACAAAATGCGAAACAGAGCTAGGAAATAATAATAACTGGTGTGTCGAACAGCTATTGGTTAATATACATTTATTTGATCATTTAAAACAAATTATTGACAAGGTACTCTGGAGTAATGAAATAGTCCGCTACACTATGGAAAGGCTGAATATATATGTATGAATAGAAATATTCGACGCAACTGATATTGTGCTTCTACAACAGTTCGTCATGTTGGTGGATTCTGAAGAGGATATCTCCAGAACAAAGCGAATAGAAAGATTTCAGTTACGTTATTCATGAAACACATGTGAAGGCTGTATAAACTGGAAAGGTGTTTTTGCTTTTACTTATTTTCATCCCTCTGAGACGAAGCTATGGCTAGTACCTGAAGCCATCTGTCACTATACTTTGACATTGCCTCCACTTCTAGTCAAAGCCGAGTATCGGCCTGTAGTGTTCGATTAGAGAGCTCGTATAAGGTTAATTTACTTCTTTGGTACATCTTTCAATGAAAAACACTGCCACAACACCTCATGATCAACAAAGTCAAATCTCATTTAAGGTCCTGGAAGGAAACAACTGTCGGACGCCTAAATGTGTGTCTTTGTTCCAGGACCTGTTGTAGTTCGAAAATATGGTCTATTCAGCCACGTTCAGGTCTCAAACCAGCCTGGTTTTCCCTATTCTGCTCTTCATGAGTTCTAATTAGTTGCCTAAGGATTCTCAAGGCCAGCAATTTAGAAACTATATTAGTTAGACTTATTCCCCTGTGATTGTCACAAGAAGACTTTTGTCCTTTCTTATAAATTGGGACAATCAGTGATTGAGACCAGTCGAATGGGATTGTATCCAGTTCCCAGATTCTACCTAAGATTTCAGTCAATGTAGCTGGTAAAGCTGGACCACCATTCTTAAAATTCTCAGGGGCAATCCTTCAAGACCCGCTGCTCTCCCTCGCTTCAGATTTCCTATCGCTTTCTCAGCTTCATAAAGAGTGAGAGGAATTACATCGATTTGCCATTCAGGATGACTGCGGATCGTGAGCAATCAAACTGCGTTTGATGGCCAGTTTAATTGATCCCTAAAGTGTTCTGCCCATCGATCTGATTTCCTGGGTCGAGAAAGAATGATACAGCCATCCTTTTCTGAGGTAGTTTCGCTAACACATGGATTTGTAATACCGGTTACCTTGATAAGCGTGAATAGTTGTCTACTGTTACCTATCACCACTGCCTTTTCCATCGCTCTCGTTTTTGCTCCCCACCACAGTTTGCGATTATTGCGTAGGCATCTTATCAGCCTGCTCCTAAGCTGAATTCGCTCTTCGCTATGTTCAGAGCCAGGCGGGATGATTTAGGTAGATACTATTGAGATTCACGGATTATTCCTAACCTTGTGTATTACCTTACTAGTAAACATCACTGCTGTTCTTACAGCTTATCACTCCAAGCCGCCTCAGGACGGGCATCACTCACTACATGGCCACCCAACGTTTTTCATAGTTGCTCCTGAAATATACTCTTAGCTTTGCCATCATTAAGTAGTGCCCTAAGAGGTTCCATCGCGCTCGCACTAGGGCATGATCTGAATCTTAACTTGTACCGCAGAACCGCTCCATTGGTGGCTGACGTCCGGTTGGCTTTGGGGTTCGTCAGGTCAAGATATGTCTTTCCTCATGCTTAAAGTTAGTGCTTGCTAGGAACAGATAGTTATCTGAGCATACTTGCAGCAGACGGTCGACATTGTCTGTTCTCTAATCCGCGACAACATAAGATCCACCCAGGTGTCTTCCCTTTTTACTTAGTCTACCTACTTGAGCATTAAAGTCACCAGCCATTATTACTACATCAGAACGCCTAACTTTTTGGAGGAGGTGTGAAAACTTTCTGTAGAACTCATCTTTCACCTCGTCTGAACTGCAGTCAGTGGAGGCATAGGCAGATACGACGAAGAGGCAACGACGGGTGTCCCTATCTTTCCGAGTCCTTACTGTCCCGTTTAGTCGGACAGCGCACAAGCGGCTGTCTACTGGAATCCAGTCTAGGAGAGTTAGTTATGCCCTAGGACATAATAATATACCTACGCCGGCGAGGCCGGCTTCCAGATACACGAAGCGTAAACCGTGTTGTTTCGATATCTGCCCGATGTGAAATAAAACTGATGATTTTACTCGGGTCTTGTACGCGCGGTTAGGAAACGCAACATACATCGATCGCCCGGGATACCGGAATTCTAGCTAATGAAGTCTGTTACCCTATTAAGCATAGGGTTTCAAAATTAAAAGCTCCAACATGTAGTTTGGAGCTGGATGTCGGGAGACAAGGAATAATGTTTTTAGAGCTCAAACCTTTTGCTTCAGAGGCATGAGGTGATAAACGATCGAAAGAAAGGTTGCTCAAGGAGATAAGAGAGTTATTAAGAGTTGAAGAAAGGATTTGATTATCAAAAATTTGGTCTCGTGTGATTTTACAGGTATTAGGACAGACGTTACTTCCCGTCTGCCCACATCTTGGAAGGGTTCTAGTTGTCAGAAAGTGCACTGGCATCATGACTCCCACAGAAACTCAGCTTTAGTCGTGAGACGTGATAACTCTTCTAAACGAAGACATTATAGAACCCTTAGAAGAGTTTAGATGGTTTGAATTGTTTTTTCCAGTTAGTCTTTTTTTAAAAGTCAGCTTTTTTGTCAACTCTTCTCTTTTATCCGGGCTTGGGACCGGCAGTATCCCCGGAGGGTCTACAGGCGGAGTTAAAGTGTCCTGTCCATTGATCCGATCCTCTAGATTGAGAATGATAATTAACCCCATCCTTTTCCGACATAGCCTAACTAACAGTCGAGGTCCCAGTTCCGTTTTCCTTGATAAGTCTAAACAGTTATCTACTGTTGCCTATTGTAGAATCCATTTTGAGGAATTTGTTTTGGGAAAATCCCTCCATATACATATTTGCAATGTGTCCTTACTGACTCTTTCTGTGTTACATTTTGATGGTCTGTTTAATCCCATTTTGGGATGTTAATAATTGCATTTTGTTATAGTTTCTATTTTTGTTCCTTTATTGGAGTTTCTATGTTTCCTTCTGAACTGTATTATGTTGTTTAAATTGATACTTGATTCTGGCTTCAGCCATATCGGATTTGATACCTTGGCGGGTAAAACGTGCATCTGGACTGGAAGGGTGCAATTTGGATTGTAACGGAAGCATTCTTCCAGAATTGGAAACACATTGTGTTATTTTGGACGGAAAACAGAGTAATATTGTTTAGGTAATTATATGTAATTCCTTTTTTTATTAATAATGGAACCGTTTCTTACCCAGATAAATTGCTTTATTTTTGGATTGAATGTGCAAGGCGCGTATCTAAACTTCTGGAACTGTTTTTCCGAAATCAGGATCCATTGTGGATTCTACACCGCTTTCTGTTCCATCTCTCTTGCTTTCGCTACCAACCACTTTTGCTGATCACCGCGTAGGCTTCTCATCAAACTGCGCTCTTCATCATGTTCAGAGCCAGATGGGATGAGTTTTTGCGGGTCCATTAGTTTAAGCTCATTGTTTCTCACTAATCGCACAGGCTACATTATTTGCAGATATTACTGTCTTTTTCATGGGTTTTTGGATATCATTCGAAACTGCCTCAGGGCCGGCATCACTTACATCGCTGCCTAATTGTTTTTTTAGTTGCTCCCGAAATTTATTCCCCCAGAATCTGTGTCAGTCTTCGATGGAGTCCATCCGTCTGTGGCTGATTGCGATGTAATCGAGATGGGTTAGTCGTTAAATCGACTTTGGGAGTCACCATTTCAGGAAGTGTTTTTCCTTACGTTGAAACTCAGTGTTTGTTAGAAATAGGCAGTCTTCTGAGTATAGGTGCAGCAGACGGACACCATTATCTGTTTTCAATCTGCTATGACACCATAAGATCCACCTCTGTGTCTTTTCTGTTCTCTTAGCAGACCTACTCGAACACTGAAGTCACCAGTCACTGTAACTTTATCACAACGCTTAACGCTTTGAAGAAGATAGCTCTCTGTACAACTCAACTTTGACCTCGTTTGATCTTTAGTCTGTGAGAGTGAAGGCAGAGACGATGAAGAGGCTAGGACGAGTATCCATATCTTAACGAGATCTTAATATCCTGGTTAGTAGGAAGGCCTGACAGCGATTGTCTACTTGGATCCACTTCAAAAGAGCTAGTTTTTTCCAGGACCTATGGGCCATCTAGAGCAGTAGGTTCGCGGAGATACTCTGAAAGAGTTTATATGATTTTGAGATGGTGGAGAAGATTTGTAGCTCAGGTGGATGATTGTAATGATGTTTGGTTGTGGAGCTTTCATTGTTCTTCTGAACAACATCGTCAGCACAAGCTTCAGGTAGAAGTGATGCATTCGAATTTCCCAAGTTCGACATGTAGCTTGTTCTGTTAAACTCGACCTCGGTTAGTTGCTGTTGACCTTAAACACGTCGTTGTTTGCACGTTTGTTTTGATTGTATCCCCATTTTGGCCTGTTTCTTGATCCCATGTCACCTATGATTTTCCTGACTGGTTGATAAATTGGGTCAATGTCGATGTGTTTATTGATTGCTGATTGACTTGTAGTGAGCGAGTCAGAATACCGGATGGATTATGCTCACCACTAAGTGTTCCGTACGGTCCCGTCGTCATTAAAATATAAATAAATCCATGGTTGAGTATTTTATTGAAGGAGAACGTTGGCATTACATGAGAAGCAGGGCATTTAGAAAAATAGCAACAACGCGAAGAGAACGTGGAAGAAGTGTTTTTCGTGCAGTTAAACAAAACGAGTACAATAATTTTTATTTTTCACAAATCGTATTTTCTTCGTAGAAGCATTCCCCTACAGACCTGAGTGCCGAGCTTCTAAAAACTCTCTAGTGTTCTTTGTCCTCCCCCTACCCAGTATTTCCACATTGTTCCAATCGAATGTATGTCCATAATTGTTGGTTGTATTGTCGTGGCGTTTGACTGCTAATTGGTGTTCACGTAAACGAAGCTGAAGAGGCCGTCCACTTTGTCCTATGTAGTGTTTTTCACAGTCTGAGCAATTTATTTTGTAGATGATATTTGGTTTTTCTTCCTTTTTCATTTTGTCCTTTGGTCTACATAGGATTGATTGAAGTGCTGTATTCTCCAGTATGTCTTTTATGTATGGTAGGATGATCCGTTTATTGGTTTCTGTACTTGATTTCGCTTATGTTAATGATTTCGGTTGATGTTTTTTGATAAATTTGTGTGGTTAGCCGTTCTTTTGAAAGACAGTCACAAGGTGTATTTCCTCATTTTTTCATTGTAATATAAAACAAGTCACTGAACCATTTTCAGTTCAGATCTATTCATAATATTATGGATTTTGAAAATAACTTCCTTTCTAAGACCTGATATATATGATGAAAACGACAATTATTTTACTGTCATTCACATTATTGGTGGTTGGTCAAATAATCTTGCATGGTAATTGTGCGACCCCTTCACTCACAGTGAAGTCATGAAACACTATAATACCTGATCTGGACTGTCCTATCGTCATCTCCAAATATTACGGTTACCCTGATGACAGATTAAAGGGATAGTTTTTCGGGCAAAATGAATAAGAGAAGTAAATAGCTTGGATATAATGTAGTTAGTTAATTCGGATCAGTTTTCTATGGTCGTTACAACATTCGGCTAACAGTTACAAGTATACAGATTCGGTCGTCGTAGCAGTGTGTTGTGTTGCTCCAGTGAAATATCACTGAGACTTAGAGGAATCATTCACTCTCTACTAAAATAAATCTTGTGTCGCTGAATCCTGTTCTTCCTGTCAGAAGTTACGGAGGTAGAATAGCCTGGTCATTAAAACAGGGTACGGGATGAGATTTCTATATTGTACTAAACGTATAATATTGAGTGGAGCCATTATCATTATATCTTCTCGTTATGGCCTTAAAGTGATTTGGGAGGTCAAATCACTCCTGCTCAGTCTAATCAAACTGAACACCTGAAAAAATGAAGCCAAATCCTGATCTGTATTATGCCTCACTTGTTATTTGGCCTGCATCAAGCTGACCTGATGCCTCACCTTTCTTATCTGATAGGACAAGTCCTGGATTTCGGTTTCAAACGTGGATGTTAATCTGAAGGTATATCAGTTTCGGACGATAGCTACTCTTTTTACCTCGGATACAAATTCAAGAGTACTTGCCTAACGAAAAAGCAATCAGGTCTTATCCTTTGTCTAGGACTTTAAAATAATGTGCTTACCTTATAAGAGGCTTTGTCTTGTGAAATTGTTCAATGCCAGTATAAAATAATTGAGTTTCTGTTTTGTATTCTATTAACTTACTGTTGTTTTATATTCCCACTATTCTCATCGTAAGAAAATTAGTTTGAAACCTATATTACAACAAAAACTGAATTGTGTCTGCCGTTTCAGAGACGTAAGTGATGGTTATGATCCAAAATCCATTCAAAGTAGTGCCCTTCACGACAGTTCAGCGTTCTGGATGCATGACATTCCAGGGAGGGTTCATGCGAGCTATAGCTTCTTAGTGCTCAAATTCTCAAGGGCTCAGATGTAATTCACGCTACCACTCTACCATCTTGAAGCAGATCTTAAATTTAAAACAATTAGTCCCTTTTATAAATTTTGATAGAACAGTGAGAAGGCGCAATTTATCAATTACGTCTTCTCACTGTCCTGTCAAGATCGTCAATTATATACTTGCTTAGCTAACTACTATATTCAGTGTTACCTGACCAAGGTGAGTTACCTACGGACTGGAAGAATGCAGCTATTACTCCAGCTCGTAGGACGAGATTAAGAAAACTTCCTTCAAGTTACAAACTGATCAGCCTCACAAGTTTTGTAATTAGAATACTGGAGAGAAAAACCGAAGTGACCAGAATCACCTTTGATGAAACAAATAACTTGTTAGAATGCATGCATCATGGTTTCAGGAAAGGGTTATCATGAATAGCAGACTTTTTTATAGTAAGAGAAAGAATTGCAGAATCGCTAGATAATGAGAAACCAGTAAATTTTGTCTAATTCGACTTTAGCAAAGCATTCGACGAGGTGCTTAACAATACACTCCTATTAAATCTCGAGAGTCTAGAAACTGCAGGACCTCTTCTGAAGTGGATCAAAATTTTTTGGTAGACAGAAGACGGAAAGCAAGAATACATTCTAAATGCTTCTCCTGAAAACCAGTACATTGGGGGGGGTATCGCAAGGTTCCGTTACGGGTCCCTTCTGTTTTTGCAAAATTTGTAAATAAACTCCAAAGTATTGTTAATTCACCGATGGTACTTTATGCTGATGATGTAAAAATCAAACAAGAAATAACGATGGATGCTAATGCAAGTGCACTTCATGTGATATATCTACATGCACATTGAGGATACAAAGACAGGTAGCTACAGCATAATAGAAGAGTCAATGCTCAAAGTTCAGTCTTACAATGATTATGGATTATCAGTAAGTCACGATCTTCAGACCGTGGCCCGCTACTAAGCGGTAGCAGCTTAGGGGTTCACAACCCTATAAGCTGTGAGATTGACGCCAAACTATGGCTTCAAGTAAATCCCCGAAAAATAGTTATGTATGTCTCTGGTACTGATGCTGACCTAATTAGTTCTGGTGGATAAACCCAGACTCACGGGACACGCCATATGATGCAAATCGGCATCTCAATCATCAGTCAAATTACTCTCGATCCTCCACACTCTCTCCTGCTTTGATTTGACCTTGGATATTCTCGATCTGAAAGGTGTTGTGGACAAAAGCGTTGTCGATGACATTCTCACTCCAGTTTTACAAGGTGACTCGGATATTTTCGAAAACTTACAGCGGACAGTTACATGTGTTCTTGAGAACTGATAGGTTCACCATACACAAAGCAGTCTTGGATGTTAAGTACCTCTCCTCTGTCTCAGTGCTGATTAAGGGGTCACCTGACTTTATTTAACAATACTAAGAAATGGTTTTGAACCTGATGTATTCTTCCCTTTTACACTAGTAGATCAGGTAAACTGGCAAAAAGTATCCGATGACTTCAAAAGAACAAACAAAGTACCTGTAGCATGTCGATTGTTACACCAAGTTTTCAAGACTTGAAACCTTTTTGCGGGAAGAGGTGATATCCGCACCATCAGTCGACTCGTACAAGAGAAGACTAAACACTTACAGAAACTTATTAAAACACAGACTAACTTAAGTCGCATTCCTTCTGTTTCCAACTTAAATTAATATTTCATTTATAGGTCACATCAGGTTTCAAAGTAAAGTCTCTCATTTACTTGGAAATAATGACCTGACATCATGACGTAACCATAAAAGAGGAGATAAGTGCATTCTAGAATAGCAGTCCGTGTCCAGCTGTAAGAAACCTTGTGTACTAGGGATACACAATAGTATGAGTGGGGACAACTGGAAAAGCGGGGATTCTAAAGATTTCAAGCGGTCACATCCAGCTCGACCTAAACAATTCAGGGACTATTATAGGTCCATTCATCTTCCTGCTATTTACTAATGACTTGTTACATAAAATCAGCTTGGAGACAGTAAATAATGAAAATGACGCAAGGATCTGTATGTTCATAAGAAGTGAAAAGGATCCAACTGAGCTTCAGAAGGACCTTACGAGAATAGAGGCATTGGCAATGGACAACAGGTTAAAACTAAACCAGTTGTCATAAACATTCTTCCTCACGCGACAAAAGCAATCAGAGAGCAAACACCCAGGTTCGTGAAAACTTTTTGTCATTAAGAGTTGTCACAACTTGAAATTTTATTCCAGCCGAGGAGACCACAGCCCTCTCAGTGGACAGCTTCAAGAAAAAAGTTGACAAATACGTACTCATATGTGGATTATCATCCACCTCTTGAACCAACTGTGCTTGCTGCATGTCTCAAAACTTGATAGTTGTTTTCTTGGTAATTTGGGTCTCCTTCATTTTCACTATCTCCTCTTTTTAACTTACTCTTTTATCCTGTCACACAATCTTCACTACCAATCAAATAACTTATTTATTTACTTCCTCACTTCTGAAATTTCCCCCTTCTCATAAGCATTAAAATTTTTCTGCTTATCATTCTCAACATCATAAGTAACTGACCTCCAGCCAGAAAATCTGATAGCCATCGGTATTCGGAAACCCTACTGCCCTTAAACAAACGCAGTTACTCAAATCGGGAACGTACAAATTCACATAGAACTGTCAAATGACTAGAATTTGTGGAGTCGAGGGGCTGAATTACCATCCATCGGATATTACCAAATAAATGAGACTGTAACGAAAGAACTAGAAACTAGAGAAAATTAACAGTTGGTTTATAATAGCTCTTGAAAAAGATATTGGATATTAGATTAGTGCCCCTACATACTTTGCGGTGCATTTGAACATTTTTCTCCCCGAAATCTTCGTCACTATCTTGTAGTTTCGATAGGTATACTGCCTCTATTTCGCTCTTGTTTTTATAATATTGCATGCCATTCCCACTATTAAATGTAAGTTTATTTTTTCGCTCTCTAAGTTGTCGGCCCGCCTTTTCTCTCGTTCTTTTCTAGTTTTATCCGCATACGCTCCCCTAGTTCACAAAGCACCTACAGGCTAGACGCGAGCTGTTACAATAGTAAATATGGGGTTTGGTCGCAATGACAGATAGATAGTCAGCGTAATCTGAGAGGTAAGTTATATGACTTACAAACTATAGATTCAGTCCAAATAGTTTTATTATCTGAAATTTGATAATGACTACATCTAACTACTTTTGCTTGATTTAAAATGCTTGTTGCTTAGAAATAATTGGTCTAACTTGATGTCGCATCCATAATTTCATACTTGTTTCATTTTATGTTTAAATTTTCATTAAGTCCACTTGTGTACTAAACTTCTATAGTCGGTAGTAATCGTTTTGTTATTTCTCAATAACCAGGTTAGCATGTGTGTAAATGTGTTCATATCTACCAGATAATTAACTTCTTTCATCAGCGGTTGGCTTTCTGGACTATTTGCGTTATCAACTAGCGCAATCCACTTTATCTTTCTCTAGAAGTTAAAGTAGCTGATTTCCAAAAGCAGTCAAGTTTCTAATCCTCTTCATTAAAGCAGCCAGTTGTTTACAGATCCCCAGAAGTTGTGACTCAGATGATGCGTATTGCTCACTTGGTTTGTTATTAGTACGCAGTAGATATGCAGCTAAGTATGGCCCTGAAGTTACTGCTTTAAAAAAGAGTTTCGAATCTAGCCCGACCGAAGCTGCTACCTTGACGTGGTGGTCGGGCTTGCCTATCGTGATGACCCAATCGAGCTATACTGGCTGGAACACATGTTCCTGCAGGTCCTACCATGCCAGGCAGGTCGATTGGAGAACGATGAGACTAAAAGCAGCTACCCAAGGTCTGAGGGCGAAGTCGTACTGCTGACTGCAGAGGGGTGTGACAGCAGTAAGGTGTTTCCCTCGGACAACCAGCATCTGCAGCGATGCTGCCTTCTCACAAGGAAGGAAGGGTTAGAAAAGGTCGGCCCTAAAAATGTCACACCTCCCCTAACTCACGGATTTCCGTCTCCTTGGGTAAGGGTGCCCACTAAGGGCCTTTAAGAACGGAGCTAATCCTCTAAATACCTCTCATAAAAAGGCCGTGCGTGACCGGCCTCAAGCAGTTGTCCCTTGGACTCTGCGGTCACGCACCAACACTAATCCATCTCCCTTTTCAGGTTCGTCAAGAAACAACCTTCCACGGTGTGGGCAGCCGGGAAGTGATAACCGCCCTCATACCCGCAACAGCACACGAGACAAAATTGTTCAAAATCAAATCCTTCCTACATTCCCTAATACCTCTCTTATCTCCACAACTAACTCTTCTCACATTCATTTATTACAGTGCACAGCTAATGCAAACGATGCGAGTTTGCGAAACGTCGTTCCTGGTCTCATTAAACCCCGTTCCAAACTACATGTTGGAGCATTCAATGTACGGACATTGTGTCAAATAGGGCAACAGGCGTCATTAGCTAGGACTTTAGAATCTCGTTCCATCGATGTGTGCTGCGTCTCGGAAACGCGCATACAGGATCCGAGTCACGTCATACACTTGACCACACCATGTCAAGATAAAGAAGCAGCTCGATTTACCCTTCGTGTATCCGGTAGCCCTGATGCTGCTTCTAGGGGCCTCGCCGGTGTAGGTATAGCATTGAGTCGTAGGGCAGAACAATCTCTCCTTGACTGGATCCCTGTAGATAGTCGCTTGTGCGCCGTCCGACTAAACGGGACAGTAAGGACTCGGAAAGATAGGGACACTCGCCGTTGCCTCTTCGTCATATCAGCCTACGCCCCCACTGACTGCAGCCCAGATGATGTAAAAGATGAGTTTTACAGAAAGCTTTCGGACCTCCTCCAAAAAGTTAAGCGCTCTGATATAGTTATAATGGCTGGTGACTTCAATGCACAAGTAGGTAGACTAAGTGAAAATGAAAGACACCTAGGTGGATGTTACGGTCTCGCGGCTCAAAGAACAGACAATGGCGACCGTCTGTTGCAACTGTGCTCAGATAACCAACTATTTCTAGCAAACACTAATTTTAAGCATAAGGAAAAACACCTTTTGACCTGGCGACCCCCGAAGTCGTCTCAACGTTGGACACAACTAGATCATATCGCCATCAGCCACCGATGGAGGGGTTCGATAGAGGACTGTCGCTCGTTCTGGGGCACATGTTTAGATTCAGATCATGCCCTAGTGCGAGCACGTATTTGTTTGAGGCTTGCTGGACGTAGGAAAGACACCGTAAGGAAGCCTCTTAGGGCTTTACTTGATGATAATCAAGCTAAGAAAATATTTCAGGAGGAACTAGAAAAACAATTGGGCGAGTCAGGTTGGAATGATATAAAGAAGGCTGTGGAAACAGCAGTGATATCTGCTAGCAAGGTAAACCATAAGGCTAGGATGAAGCCGTGGATTTCAGTCGCATCCACCGAACTGATGGATGCTCGAAAACGCATCCCACCTGACTCTGAACATGATGAAGAGCGTACTCAACTTAGGCGCAGACTTATAAAAAGCCTACGTAACGACCGTGAACAGTGGTGGGTGGCGAAAGCAAAAGCGATGGAAAAGGCAGCGGCGATAGGCAACACTAGACAACTTTTCCGCCTTATCAAAGAAACCGGTATTAGGAACCCGAATGTAAGTGAGACTATCTCGGAAAAGGATGGTCTTATTATCCATTCTCAATCTAGGAGGCTGGACCGATGGGCAGAACACTTTAGGGATCAGTTCAACTGGCCTTTAGCCACTCTTCGGTTGCCCACGATCTCCAGTCATCCTGAATGGCAAATCGATTTAAGTCCTCCCAGTTTAAATGAAGTTGAGAAAGCTATAGGAAATCTAAGGAGAGGTAGAGCGGCAGGTCCTGATAGGCTTACCCCTGAGATGTTTAAGGATGGTGGTCCAGTTTTAACGGTTAAACTGACCGAGATCCTAGGTAGAATCTGGGAAATGGACGTAATCCCATCTGACTGGTCTCAGTCGCTAATTGTCCCAATCTACAAGAAAGGACAGAAGTCCTCTTGTGACAATCACAGGGGAATAAGTTTAACTAATATAGTTTCTAAATTGTTAGCCTCGATTATACTTAGACGTCTAACTCGAGCTCGCGAAGAGCAGACTCGAGAAAACCAGGCTGGTTTTCGACCTGGACGTGGTTGTATAGACCACATCTTCACACTACGACAGGTCCTGTAACACAGACACACATTTAGACGTCCGACAATAGTCGTGTTCCTGGACCTTAAGGCGGCATTCGACTCAGTGGATCGTGAGGTTCTGTGGCAGTGTCTGTCATTGAAAGGTGTACCAAAGAAGTACATTAACCTTATACAAGCACTCTACTCGAACACCACTGGTCGGGTGAGAGCATATGGCGAACTGTCATCTGAAATCTCTACATCAAGTGGTGTCCGTCAGGGCTGTCCACTCTCTCCATTCTTGTTTAACTTTGTCGTAGACATCCTCTTAGAGTTAACATTAAGCTCGTCAGATTTTTCAGGGGTTGACCTTCTACCAGGAAGGTCGCTTACTGATCTAGAATATGCCGATGACATAGTTCTATTCGGTGAAGACGCTGACAAAATGCAGAGTCTTCTGACTACCATAAGCAACAATGCGAGCATGTTCGGGATGCGGTTTTCCCCCTCGAAATGCAAAATGTTGCTTCAAGACTGGGTTGCTTCGGCACCTGAACTAGTTATAGGGAGTGAAGTAGTCGCGCGTGTAGATCACTTCACTTATCTGGGGAGTCTCATCAGTGCTGACGGTCTGGTGACTGACGAAATCTCAGCTCGGATACAGAAAGCTCGATTGGCTTTTGCCAACCTGCGTCACTTATGGCGTAGGCGTGATATCCGTTCGCTAACCAAAGGGCGGGTGTACTGCGCAGCAGTTCGTTCCGTTCTCTTATATGGCTGTGAAACATGGCCGTTAAGAGTAGAAGATGTTCGTAGGTTACTAGTATTCGATCATAGATGTTTAAGAAGCATTGCTCGTATATCGTGGGACAGCCGAGTAAGCAATGCTGTCGTTAGGAAACGAGTACTAGGTAAGGATGGCAGATCAATCGATGAAGTGGTGAAACTTCATCAGTTGAGGTGGTTGGGACATGTGTTACGTATGCCTAACCACCGACTGCCTCGACGAGCTATGTTTTGTGGTGTAGGAGTAGGTTGGAAGAAAGCTAGGGGCGGCCAGACCAAAACATGGCAGAAATCCATGAAGTCACTGACAAGTGGACTGAGTGATGTTGGTAGATGTAGACTACCTGGTTGGGGTCCGCGAGACGAAAGTCATCAATGGTTAGAGACCTTGAACGACATGGCTCAAAATCGTTTGCAATGGCGCAGGTGCATCCACTCTTTGAGCTCTCTCAAATCCTAATCTTCTGGATTCGTCAGCTCTTCTACCTTTGTCTTTCTAACCTTATCTCACTGAATTATATTTTTTTTTTGAATAATATCTTAAACCCTAGTCTTCTTTATTATAACATTAATACCTCTACCATCTTTATCACTATGGGATTTGATTTGACATTTGCGTCTCTGTGCTAATAATGTGGTATGGCAACATGAACTTATGTACATACGTACGAAGTTCTACGTCGCAACTGACTGACTGACTGACTTCGAATCTAGATATATGACGCGACCAGAGTTTCTTAAAGACTAGAAGACGTGTGGAAAAAGAAGGCCGATAATCCGCTTGTTTTTTAAATGTATGTTTGAAGATTAGATGTGCTCATTTTGACTAGTCAAACGTAGAACCTCTGAAGGTTAGGATTTGAGAGAACACAAAGAATAAATGCACCTGCTCCATTGCAAACGGTTTTGGCCAGTCATTCAGGATCTCTAGTAAACCGTGTCTTCAAATAAATCGCTTGTTCCGTTTGGTCTTGCCCTCTTCGTTCATCACAATATTACTATTATTGCTGTCGTGGTATTTTCCTTGGTAATTTCATTTCGCCGTACTCCTGTAATGTAAGAACTTAGGTTTGTGAATATATGTACCAAGTTTTACTTTGCTTATAACTGACTAAAATTAATTATTGTGTAAAAACCTTTGGTATAAATCTTAGTCCATTTAAATTGTTGTTTTGGCATTTGCATGAAAAGAGATGAAGAGTCTATGGAATTTCGTACAGCGTTCTGTGCTGTTCATTTTCCAACTATACTTCAGTTTGAGATTATTAGAGCATTGAGTTAACAGTTAAAGCACTTTCTTCGGTCAATAAGCTATATGTTCAAGCGTCGCTCCACCTACGTAGTTCTAGTATTCAGTTAGTGTCAGATTTCTTCGCTTAATGCACAATACTTTAGCCTGTACTCAGCAAATGAGTTATCCAATTATTACTAGTTAATTATTTCAAAAGTCAGGTTTGGACTGCGAAATATACGTTAAGACTGTGTGTATCATTTTTTAGATACTAGAACAAGTTAGTGTTAAGTAATTCCTACTCCTCTGTTTGCATAGTTTCAAGTAAATCGATTATACCATAGCCACATTTTGAAAAAGAAGTAGACTATTTACAGCATTTAATCTACTGTACTGTTATTGACTTTAAAAGGATAACTACTTTTTATGAGTATTTGGCACAAACTTACCTGAATTTATGGAGATTTCATAATGTAATCCTTTCCTACTAACTAGTTGTTTTTGTATGTTAAATAGCCAAATAATTGTAAAGCTTTAGTGAATGATAATGTCGAAAGTAAGGTTTTTTCCCATGAATTATGTTAATTTACCTACATAATGATTATGCTCTCATTTTGTGTGCGTCAAATGAGTGATGTGCTACAAGTTAATAGTAATTGTAGAAAGTAATCCTTAAAAGCCAATTTATCTGTACTTACAACTCAAACTTCCATTAATATTCCGTTTAATGTACATTCATTCTATCTTTATTTGACCAATTTCTTTTAAATTGTTCTGTATTTCAGGTATTTCTAGATGTCTCATCTTGAGGCTTTTCCAACCTCTACAAAAGTTAAAAGATGTTCTCAGTCAATCGTTTCAGAGTATGTTTTTTAAAGATTAATTACGAACTATATTGCCTTATTTTAGAACATTTGGAAAAGATGTAAGGTCACTTAAATCTCTACAAAGTCCTATGTTATTTTAGTTGAAATATCCCCGGCTGTTGGACAATTCAAGAAACGATATAACTCATACTTTATCATGCAATGTTGGTTCCAACTCAAAGGATCATTCGAATGAATTTGAAAATGTCAACAGTTTTGCATGTAGCCATGATCGACTTGCACAATTATCAGCTTTGATCGATCAGTGTTCACATGGCGAATTGTTGCATATTAAAAAAACTATAAAACCATTGTTAAAACGAGATTTTATAGCATATTTACCCGTTGAAATTTCTCTACATATCTTGCAGTATTTATCACCTCGAGATATATTTCATTGTGCTCAAGTGAGTTGGTGGTTTCATGATATACTTTTTGCCATGAAAGGATTTTATGTTATATTCTGGGTTTGTGTATCTATCTGTGAAATTGTTGATGACTGAATTTATCTGTGGTAATAAGTGTGGACTACGTTGCTGTGGTTTATGTGATTATCTTGTATAGCAACTCGATTACATTTGAGTTTATTTACATTTAATTTGGTTAAGCCCTTTTATTAACTTATTTAACAGTTTCATTCGTACAGAAACAACTTATATGTACCATCGTACTCCTATTGTAGTCGCGCGTTTATGAACATGTACGATTGAGCGTCGCTTACCGCCTGCGCACATATTTTACTAGCTTTAATGTTAGTCGCTTAAATAATTCGATACCTTATTCATTCCCCTATATATATATATATATATATATATATATATATATATATATATATATATATATATATATACATTTTAATCCTATTCATTCGCTCGCTCGTTTGCCCTTCGACACTCGCATATCATTTCCTCTTTTTGTGCCTGTGGTTTTATGATGTGTGTGTGCTACGATAATGAACGCCATCGACGCTTCGTATTCCTCTTCTGATTTACACACTGTTAGGTGTTATCTAGTGACGATTATGAGGAGCAGTATACGAAATTTAGGAATATATTGAATACCAACCGCCTCACGTGATCCGCGTCTAGAGACAGTGTCTCTGAACGTCTTAAGCGATAAAGTAAGAGCGTACAATATGAAATTTTCTCCTTCAAAAATACAAAATATTGGTTTGGGACAGGTCTTCATCAGTCAGTCAGTCAGTTGCGACGTAGAACTTCGTACGTAAGTACATAAATTCATGTTGCCATACCACATTATTAGCACAGAAACGCAAATGTCAAATCAAATCCCATAGTGATAAAGATAGTAGAGGTATTAATGTTAATAAAGAAGACTAGGGTTTGAAGATATTATTCAAAAAATGTAATTCAGTGAGATAAGGTTAGAAAGACAAAGGTAGAGGTGCTGACAGGTCTTCATCGATTTTTAGTTTATGAAGTAAGGTAGCTTAGTGAGTTAATCACCTCGCCTGTTACCCCCAATAGAGCATAGGCCGCCGACCAGTTTTCTCCAACCAACTCTGTCTTGGGCTACCCTTTCCAGTTTTGTCCAGTTTTTGTTCATTCTTCTCATGTCTCTCTCCATATCTCAGCGTAATGTGTTTCTTGGACTTCCTCTTTTGACTTTGAGGGTTCCAAGTGAGGGCTTGCCTTGTGACACAGTTAGTTGGGTGCTTCCCGCAATGTGTATCCTATCCACCCCCGCCGCTGTTTCTTGATTTCTTCCATTTGATGCTGGTTTGTTCTATTCCACTGTAGGTTGTTGCTGATAATGTCTGGTCAACGGATCCTAAGTATTTTGCGAAGACATCTGTTAATAAACACTTGTATCTTCTGGATGATAGCTTTGGTAGTTCTTCCAGTTTTCGCCTCTTACAGTAGAACTGTCTTGACATTTGTATTAGAAATTCTGATTTCGGCATTGATTGATATTTGTTTGGAGTTCCAGATGTTTTTCAATTGTAAAAATGTTGCCCTTGCTTTCCCGACTCGCGCCTTCACATCTGCATCGGATCCACCTAACTCATCACTGATGCTATCCAGATATGTAACAGATTTTACATCCTCCAAGGCGTCTCCATCAAGTGTGATTTGGTTGGCGCACGCTGTGCTGTATCGGAGAATCTTGCTTTTCCATTTATGTATGTCGAGACCTGCTGCTGCTACACTGGTCGTCTTCTGCATCTGTTTTTGTATGTACGATAGAAGAGCCAGATCATCCGTGAAGTCCAGACCATCCAGTCAGTCAGTCAGTCAGTTGCAACGTAGAACTTCGTACGTATGTACATAAGTTCATGTTGCCATACCACATTATTAGCACAGAGACGCAAATGTCAAATCAAATCCCATAGTGATAAAGATGGTAGGGGTATTAATGTTATAATAAAGAAGACTAGGGTTTAAGATATTATTCAAAAAATATAATTCAGTGAGATAAGGTTAGAAAGACAAAGGTAGAAGAGCTGACGAATCCAGAAGATTAGGATTTGAGAGAGCTCAAAGAGTGGATGCACCTGCGCCATTGCAAACGATTTTGAGCCATGTCGTTCAAGGTCTCTAACCATTGATGACTTTCGTCTCGCGGACCCCAACCAGGTAGTCTACATCTACCAACATCACTCAGTCCACTTGTCAGTGACTTCATGGATTTCTGCCATGTTTTGGTCTGGCCGCCCCTAGCTTTCTTCCAACCTACTCCTACACCACAAAACATAGCTCGTCGAGGCAGTCGGTGGTTAGGCATACGTAACACATGTCCCAACCACCTCAACTGATGAAGTTTCACCACTTCATCGATTGATCTGCCATCCTTACCTAGTACTCGTTTCCTAACGACAGCATTGCTTACTCGGCTGTCCCACGATATACGAGCAATGCTTCTTAAACATCTATGATCGAATACTAGTAACCTACGAACATCTTCTACTCTTAACGGCCATGTTTCACAGCCATATAAAAGAACGGAACGAACTGCTGCGCAGTACACCCGCCCTTTGGTTAGCGAACGGATATCACGCCTACGCCATAAGTGACGCAGGTTGGCAAAAGCCAATCGAGCTTTCTGTATCCGAGCTGAGATTTCGTCAGTCACCAGACCGTCAGCACTGATGAGACTCCCCAGATAAGTGAAGTGATCTACACGCTCGACTACTTCACTCCCTATAACTAGTTCAGGTGCCGAAGCAACCCAGTCTTGAAGCAACATTTTGCATTTCGAGGGGGAAAACCGCATCCCGAACATGCTCGCATTGTTGCTTATGGTAGTCAGAAGACTCTGCATTTTGTCAGCGTCTTCACCGAATAGAACTATGTCATCGGCATATTCTAGATCAGTAAGCGACTTTCCTGGTAGAAGGTCAACGCCTGAAAAATCTGACGAGCTTAATGTTAACTCTAAGAGGATGTCTACGACAAAGTTGAACAAGAATGGAGAGAGTGGACAGCCCTGACGGACACCACTTGATGTAGAGAATTCAGATGACAGTTCGCCATATACTCTCACCCGACCAGTGGTGTTCGAGTAGAGTGCTTGTATAAGGTTAATGTACTTCTTTGGTACACCTTTCAATGACAGACACTGCCACAGAACCTCACGATCCACTGAGTCGAATGCCGCCTTAAGGTCCAGGAACACGACTATTGTCGGACGTCTAAATGTGTGTCTGTGTTCCAGGACCTGTCGTAGTGTGAAGATGTGGTCTATACAACCACGTCCAGGTCGAAAACCAGCCTGGTTTTCTCGAGTCTGCTCTTCGCGAGCTCTAGTTAGACGTCTAAGTATAATTGAGGCTAACAATTTAGAAACTATATTAGTTAAACTTATTCCCCTGTGATTGTCACAAGAGGACTTCTGTCCTTTCTTGTAGATTGGGACAATTAGCGACTGAGACCAGTCAGATGGGATTACGTCCATTTCCCAGATTCTACCTAGGATCTCGGTCAGTTTAACCGTTAAAACTGGACCACCATCCTTAAACATCTCAGGGGTAAGCCTATCAGGACCTGCCGCTCTACCTCTCCTTAGATTTCCTATAGCTTTCTCAACTTCATGTAAACTGGGAGGACTTAAATCGATTTGCCATTCAGGATGACTGGAGATCGTGGGCAACCGAAGAGTGGCTGAAGGCCAGTTGAACTGATCCCTAAAGTGTTCTGCCCATCGGTCCAGCCTCCTAGATTGAGAATGGATAATAAGACCATCCTTTTCCGAGATAGTCTCACTCACATTCAGGTTCCTAATACCGGTTTCTTTGATAAGGCGGAAAAGTTGTCTAGTGTTGCCTATCGCCGCTGCCTTTTCCATCGCTTTTGCTTTCGCCACCCACCACTGTTCACGGTCGTTACGTAGGCTTTTTATAAGTCTGCGCCTAAGTTGAGTACGCTCTTCATCATGTTCAGAGTCAGGTGGGATGCGTTTTCGTGCATCCATCAGTTCGGTGGATGCGACTGAAATCCACGGCTTCATCCTAGCCTTATGGTTTACCTTGCTAGCAGATATCACTGCTGTTTCCACAGCCTTCTTTATATCATTCCAACCTGACTCCGGATGGGAATCACTTGCATGATCGCCCAACTGTTTTTCTAGTTCCTCCTGAAATATTTTCTTAGCTTGATTATCATCAAGTAAAGCCCTAAGAGGCTTCCTTACGGTGTCTTTCCTACGTCCAGCAAGCCTCAAACAAATACGTGCTCGCACTAGGGCATGATCTGAATCTAAACATGTGCCCCAGAACGAGCGACAGTCCTCTATCGAACCCCTCCATCGGTGGCTGATGGCGATATGATCTAGTTGTGTCCAACGTTGAGACGACTTCGGGGGTCGCCAGGTCAAAAGGTGTTTTTCCTTATGCTTAAAATTAGTGTTTGCTAGAAATAGTTGGTTATCTGAGCACAGTTGCAACAGACGGTCGCCATTGTCTGTTCTTTGAGCCGCGAGACCGTAACATCCACCTAGGTGTCTTTCATTTTCACTCAGTCTACCTACTTGTGCATTGAAGTCACCAGCCATTATTACTATATCAGAGCGCTTAACTTTTTGGAGGAGGTCCGAAAGCTTTCTGTAAAACTCATCTTTTACATCATCTGGGCTGCAGTCAGTGGGGGCGTAGGTTGATATGACGAAGAGGCAACGGCGAGTGTCCCTATCTTTCCGAGTCCTTACTGTCCCGTTGAGTCGGACGGCGCACAAGCGACTATCTACAGGGATCCAGTCAAGGAGAGATTGTTCTGCCCTACGACTCAATGCTATACCTACACCGGCGAGGCCCCTAGAAGCAGCATCAGGGCTACCGGATACACGAAGGGTAAATCGAGCTGCTTCTTTATCTTGACATGGTGTGGTCAAGTGTATGACGTGACTCGGATCCTGTATGCGCGTTTCCGAGACGCAGCACACATCGATGGAA